ATTATAATATTTAAATTTCAAATAACTTATCATTATAATTTACTAAATTAATTGAGTTTTACAACTGACAAAGGAAATACTTCTTATAGGTAAATTTTCTCGACTATTTTTATTTAGAGTGTGTATACCTATTATTGTCTCACGTTGGGATATTTTTGTTTAATAAATATGGTACCTAGGTAAGTACTTCATAATAGCCCAAATTTAATAAATTTCATAATTTACATTCAACTAATATTTAAAATTTTTTAACAAACTGTAGTAAAATATTACATGTTCAGGTTATATCCTCTATGAAAAAACAACGATCTTTATCACCAATGTKTGTGTCATYAGGTAATAAATAAACTTCAGTATAATAAAACAAAGTTTTRAATAATTTTAATCGGGTTGAATTCTAAAAAAGCAGAAAAAAATATATTGTRCAGTTGGTTTTCTCTTAATGAGGACTTGATTACCCCTCCTCCCCTATTTGCACCAATGAAGGTACTTTTATGTAGTTCATACTACTCCAGAGTTGTTCAATTTATATTTATATTTACTTTCCCAATGGGTATTTACCCGAGGCACATCAATTTGTTATTTTTTCAATATTTTTTATTTTTCCGTTTTAATTTTTATTTCTTTAGAAAATTAAACAATACTGTACTAGCTTATACTAGCCTTGTATATTATTCTAAATTAGAATTAGAATTCAAGTTGAATTATAATACTTATACGTAGTTGGCTAGTTATATTATATTATATAACTTATATAGTATATAAGTTATATAATATATAATATCATTGTTCGTTTTGTTTTTTTTCTTGATTTTAATAGTAATGAACTTTAAATAGACTTTTTTAGAGAATAAAAAATTTGTATAATTATACCGAAAATATTAACTCCTAAATTATTCTTATAAGAATATTAATATTAGAAACGTACACAATGTAAAAAACTTTCTCTACTAGAATTTTTTCGGGCGTGATGATTATAAAAATTTAATATTTACTATTTTAAATAACACATCAAACGATCAAACTAACCGAGCAAGATGGGTGCTTAACCTTAGATGAGTGCCCGGCCTCYTTCAATCTTGAAAAAATATTTGTTCTTAGTTTTTACCGGAAAAACAATTTGTAGATATGCTTATTGCTTATAACAATGCGAATTTAATTAATTAAATAATATTTTACAATACTATATTGCACATAGTTTTACAATTTAATTTATTGCAGGATGTCTATTGAGTGACACCTACGTAGAAGATAAAAACTATAATCTTGCGTCTTTAGTACACCACCACCAAAATATAAATTGATAAAAAAAAAAAAAATGTTTGTTAATGCCTAATGGAATCGCAACGAGAAAATTAGTATTTACAAATGTTTTAAAATAATTAAATATAATAATATTCATATTCATTTGGWATTTATAATTTTATACGAAAATGATGTAATTACAATCCAATAGTTAATTTTCTATACGCACTCAGATTTACCATATTATAAATATTATATTTACCATATTTGCTATAATATTATCAACAAAATATTTTTCCACAGTCGATCGGATATCCTATCCAGTTTTTTTTTTTTATTACCCCAAATAGGTTTTTAATAATTTTTTCCCTATTTGTTATTGTCTTTTATTTTAAAAGATGTAATACATTGATTTATATTTTTACGAATTATTTATTTTATTAACTCAAGTTCATTTTTACTTCATGATAATGTATTATGTGCACACAGATGCGTAATACGCAAAAGGTATCCATGTGGCCCGTAGGATTGTGCACAAGGACTGGTTTAAGTACACCAATCGTGAAGAATGGCCAATTAGTTGGCTTTTACGACGGTTGGATTGCCGGCAGGAAGTTTCCAGTCGACATGGCTGGGTTTGCGGTTAGCGTCAAATTCCTACTAGAAGTAAGTCAACATTTTTGACCTATATATGTTTTAAAGAAAACATGTGAAAATGACCGACAAAAAATGCCAAGGAAATAAATAAAAAAATATGGAGTGAAAACTAATAATGTAATATTACCGCTTTCTAATTTTCTCGAATGTTATATACACGCCGGGGTTAATTAGATTGTAAATGCCCATTTAAAAAAATTAGCACCTTGTTGTGGTTGAACAATTTGTAATTCAGACTCACTAACATATCAGTGACTGGCAACAAGACTATTTTGTCACACAAATAAATAATATAAAAAATGAAAATGTCTACATAGGGAATATCCAGAAATAAAAACTTATCTAGATACGCGGTAGCGTGTCAAGCCGTGTGTAATATTACACGAACCATTTGGAACCACTTTGACTCCCTCATAACTCAAAAACTATTCCACATAAACATGTCAAATTTGGCTCATATATTGAGACTTACAAGATACATATATGCTAAAATTTCATAAACATACCTCAAACYGTTATTTAGATATATTAACGTCCCAAAATCGTCATTTTTATCACTGACTGACCTATAGATCAAAATTCTAACCCAGTTCCAGGTGACCTAGAAAGTTCAAATTTGGCATACAGATAGGTAGTTAGGTATAAAAAGGAAAAAATCAGAAACTAGACAATTTTTAATTTTTAAATTTTTAAATTTTAAATTTTTTAATCAATTGATTTTATTATAATTTTTCAATTATTTGATCTATTATTAATTTTTCAATTAATTAATTAAGTGCCTCTAATTTAATGTAATGTGGTCTTAAATATCTGCGCTTACCTTTCCCATATCGCTATTCCAAAAATACGTCCAGTCAAATATGTGTCGATATTTGTGACCCGCGCGCAGCAACATACTTTTTTCTATGTATGTAATTAATAATTAATATTAATATTAAATAATTTATCTTACGATTATGAATTACCCATCCATCAGATGATAAAGTTATGATACTTAAAAATGTACTCAAAAAGAGATAAAATAATTTTATATTTTATACTCTGTAGGTATACAACAGAAAATATTTTATAATAAATATTATTAAATGTCAGTAACTGAATTATAGTATATAGTAATAAACTTTATTTATAGAATACGAGCAATTTTGTTGTGTTAAATTTGATTAAGCATAGTATAAAATTATATACTCAACTTTTCAGTACTAACAACSAAATATTAAATAATAATAAAATAAATTATTGAATAAAATATTAAAATTTGATTTTGAATAAATACATTTATAAATTATTGATTATTCCTTATAATCAAAATGTTATAACTACTTATAACTTATTAGAGATATACGAAGATCGGTTGAAAATTTTTGTAATGGTGTAAAATTAATAATTTAGGTACCTATTTAAAAACTAAAATTATTAGGTACCTATATACCTATATACCTACCTATATTTTTAAACTAGAATAGTAGAATATAAAGCTTAAATCATAAATATATTTATAATATTACAATGAATATTATTTTAAATTCTACAGTTATATACCAATTACAAATAGTGTTCACATCATTCAGTGTAGTATTTACATAAATTATTTTAAATATGCATAAGAACCTACATTTTTTTTTTTTTTTTTAATTATAGCAATATAATTATTCAAGTATAAAACTACAAAATATATCCTAGACTGCAAACCGTCTCCGCTCAGATTATATACAAAGGTATAAATCATTRAATTCGAATTTAATACCATCCATTACAGAAATTCACTTGTAACCTACTTTACAGCAGTGACATCTACTTACCCGCAATTTTTAGTTCTACGTATGTTGTTTGTTATATTAAATTAAATATAACAGACAATGCATTTACTAATAAGCAATTAGTTGGAACAATATCTTGATAGAGCTAACTCAGCATAGGCGTGCGCAGAACTTTTACAGGTATGGCACAACTTTTTCTTAATAGGTGCTCAGTAGTTAGTTTAGGTAGTGGTTATTTTGTAGCAATACTGAGTTAAAATAAACAATTAAAAAAAAATAAAAATATTTTTAAATAAAAAAATCTTTCATTCAAAAACACATTATAGTTATAACTTTATAAGGTTAATCGGCAATTCCCTGGAACAAATACTTTGATTTCTTCAATTATTTCTCTATAATCCAGTTTCGTACAATA